AATAACGCCTGGAAAATGTAATGTGGAGCGCGTCCACAGTAAAAGAAAAATAAATGAAAAAGTAACTGTTAACTTACCGTGATAAGCACCTGCCAACGGCGGAGAAATATCGGAGAAAAATACACACGACTAAACTCACGCCGAACGATACATGCACTGACCTGCGGCGGTGCGTGCCCATCTCATGGTAACCCGGATGTACGTAATGATTTGGTAGAATTTCTAGTTTTATCCCATGGTTTAGCACTTTTGCCGTTCTAAGATGTTACAGTGACAGTATTTCGACCTTTTTGATATTTTCTCTACCTACTGAGCATAGCTGACAGCGAAATAGGGAACAAAAACCATGAAGAGGACTTAAAACGAACCAGAAGGGATCGGCCTATCTTCAAGAAAAAGGTTGGTACCTATGACAAATGTGAGTTTTCTAATTTCTTCCTTTTCCAACGAGCCAAAATGATTATTAGTGTTTTGGTAACACGGATGATTGTAGACTGTAATTTGGTTGTCAGAGTTTTATCATCCTTTAAGTTATGCGCTACAGATCAATTCAAAAACGACCGATTTTTGATTCGCTCGCAGACACCGAGTTTAGGGAAGGTAAAATAAGAAAGTTTTAGTCTTGCCCGTAGCTACTTAACAATGTTTATGGTTTTCGAAGATAGTCCTGTGTTGTGTTGTATCGCATACAAAAAAATGAACTTTGCTCGGTTAATTCTGAGGAGTTTGTGAGCTTCAGAAAATGGTCAAAATTTGCTTACAAAATAGCGTCCGAAGGGGTCAAATAAAGTGATGCTCGTATCTCTAATACAAGAGCAGCGAAGAACCTATGTTTATTATATTTGTCCATTACACCACCTAACCTATCTATGATGTTAGTATGAGCTTATTATGTGGATCCCCTTCCGTTGACATTTTTAACATTTTGCCCGGTTTTCTCTGACAACCACTCTTAAGCAGACCGTATAATAGACTATCATGGTAGACTATTTAGCTACTAACAAAATAGTGAATAAAAGAAAGGACTAGTGCAGTTTTTTAGGAATGTGTACGTCATTAAGTTAACTGGTCATCGAATCACGCTCCCAAATTCCGCACAATCCTCACTTTGGATACATCACGATACCCTGATGGCGCTGACAGCAGCCATTTTTTAATAGATACCGTGGTGCTATGCCTGGAAATTCGTTTTTGACGTCGTTAAGCATAAGTTTGTCGGAGTAAATGAAATGCTTGACGTCCCTGATACATAATGATCTTGATTTCAAGAACAGCTTAGGTTAGAGGATAAACAAAGTTAAGAGTCATCAACGTAACTATGAAAATCTTCAATGGTATTTAATTTGTAGATTATCATCATCATCATCGTGTCTCGCCTCCATAAACGACTGTCATTTCCAGCTGTTGTTTGAGGTAAACTCCTACGAGATTACAGTAGTATTACACATGGGGGTACAGGCGCATAGTATATGGTTTGGGGTTTTTACTGACGACTGCATTTCGGGCGCTCGATACTGGCGCTAGCACAGAAATTGGTTTGAACCGGTTTTGGGCGGTTTGTCTAGAATTTATATATATTTTATTTTTTAATAATATCGAAGCCCAACCAAATCACCATATTGAAATAATTTTTTGCTGAGTACTATTTTAGTTTTGGAATTAGGATCTATTTGATATTTTTGATATTTATCCTCATTTGTGAATACAACATGAGAATGATTATTGGTTATTTTTCTTTAGTCCAAAATCTATTTTGTCTGTTTCTGCTTTTTGAATCATTTCCAATATTTTATCCACAATAGGATCTTCGATTGTTTTCTTTTTATAAGTATCTAAAATAGGATCTAAATAAAAGCTCTTACCGCATTTATAATCGGCTTTTTCTATTGCTTGCTCAGGCTCAATGAGTACTGATCCTTTGTATCCTTCACAAGTATTTTTTATGATGCCAGATAGTAGTAACAACCCACGGCATGAAATTCTTGGTTCTTTTGGCTGGTTTAGTTGCTATAATGCTGATTTTAGAGCGGTTTTTGTGTGTTTTTGTACGACTTTTGACTTAATATTTAAGACAAGTCCCATTTCATTGGTCAACTTTTGTTTACTAAGGCTTACTCTACCATTTGGAGGAATATACATAGATATTAAACTAGTGCCTCCTGATAGAGATTGTTGTTTGGCTAAAAGACGAATAAAATCTTCCATATATATATTATGTATATAATTATGGAATGTAAAAAAGGTGTATTAAATTCTTAGTTTGTGACAATAGTTTACCCATTTTCCTCCTCTTCCTCCTCCGTTTTAAAGATTACTTCAAGGACGCCTGTTAATGTCATCTCAGCTCATTCCAGTTTTTTGGAGATTAATTTCTTGTGGTATAATGTCGCAATTTCTTCTTCCAATTTTTGGATTTTAGTGAATAGTGCATTAAGTTCGGATTCCTTACTCCGGATTTTAGTATCAAGCTTTCTTATATGATCGTCCATATATACTATTAGTTAGATAAATCTTGTAGGTTGCTTAGTGGAATCCAACTATTAAAGTCGTCACTATAGCCCAACCATTTTACCAGAGCTTGTTTCTTCTTATAATCCCTCCGAATGACCTTTTCAATGCGAAATACATCCTGTTTTGCTGGTAGTAATTCTGGCTCATAAAAGCTGCCTTGTATTTCCTCATTATTGAGATCCTTTAATCTGTATGTGATTGGGCTTGTGGATTGGATTTTATCAATCAGGAATATCTCTTCTCTCCAGTTAGGCGTGTACCCTTTATCGAATACCTTTCTCTTGTACTTACTTATCCTAACTTGATCACCAGCCTTGAATTTGGGCTTAAATGACAATTGCTTCATATCACCATATAGATTGTAATACACAGTACTTTTATTCTTCTTCTTACTAACTTCTACAGGTGTCATTTTAATGGAACTGTGTTTGGTGTTGATATATTGCTTCAGTATTTTTGGTAGTATGTCAAGATATTGGGTATTACCCTGGACAGTAAATTGCTTCCACATTTTGTACGTATTTTGTAATTGTACGGTTCCATCTTTCACATACAACTAGAATTTTCCTCATTTTCGGTTGAGTATAGTGTTATGTTATTCTTTTCTAACAGTTCTTTCATATTTTTGTTATAATATTCTTTCCCCTTATCAGTTCAAAGATATTGTGGTTTACGGCCCTCTTTAAAGATGGTTTTGAATGCTTCTGTGACAGTTTCCCCTTTCTTATCCTTCAGTGGGACAATCCAGCCATATTTGGAGAATAGATCTAGAACCATGAGAAGACATCTATAACCCTTGTTCCATTTGCAAAACTGTTGCATCTCAGCCAGATCTGAGCACCAAATTTTTCAATACCGGTTGTAATAACACGCCGCCGAGTAAAGTTGCGTTTTATTGGTTTATGTAATTCGTCCGCTAATTGGTGTTGCAAACTGTTACTCGACGGCTTTTCTAGTTTAAACCAAGACCGAGTTTCTGTTTTGTGTTTATTAGATTTCTAGCTAACCAGTGTCCCCATTGTCGTTCATTATAAGGAATGGCGTCTAACGATTTTACCATTTTACGGTCAGCTTTATTTTTACATTTTCGGTTATCACCGCAAAGACTGTAATCGACATCATGTTGCATGGCTGTAGATTTGCTTAAATCTACAGCATGTCTTTCCAGTTGGCGGATCATAAATTTCTAATATTTCACCAGTTTCTGGATTGTATCTGACTTGGTTTTCGAGATCGTTATAAGGGCCTGTATACCGATGTCCTGGTAAAGTCCATCCACCTGCTGGTTTTGGTAATTTACCAATCTGCTTGTGGATATCTATAGCACCTCCATCCAAATCTTTCCTGTTAGTTTTGTAGTTCTTTTTTGGTCGTATTTTGGTTGATAATTGGTCAAGAGCTTGAGATCCGACATTGTGTATTACCGGATTTAATTTGTCCAGAGCGTAGTCGATAGCTTTTTTCCGTAACTTTTTATTACGTAATGCTTCTGACCCGTAATATCTGCCCATCTCAACGGTCTTTTTGGCCATATATGGTAGGGCATGATGTACAAATATATCAGTAGCGGTTCCTACAGCAAAGTCAAATAAATCGCCCCCTGCTTGAGAGGGCCCAATTAGTTTCCCTTCTTGACAAACTTAAACTTTTTTATTCCGCATTCAGCACAAGTACACCAAAACATAAGTCTACCATTTTTGGCAGTTTTATAACCCGAAGGTTCTGCACATTCTGTTTGCTTCTTCTGTTTAACACAATAAGATTTCACCATTATTATATATTTATGTTACATAAAATAGTTTATCAGAAATTGGTGATTTATCATTTGATTTGTGGAACTAAATTTGGGGTTGTGTATAACGTCTAATAATGATCTACCTTTTTGTCTCTCTAGGAGATAATTTAAGCACCAATACCCGCACAAAACACTGTCTCTCTCTTGTATTTCATCTGACGAGTACACCATTTTTTTACCGCTTGTTTTCAGATAATTTTGATCTCATTGGGCGTGATCAACCCAAACGAATCAAAATTCTCGCAATATTGGCTTATCCACGTTTCTATAACAGACCCAATGACTGCCCCCACCCATTGAATCATCGAGATTAATTATTCCTGTTTCCAATTTGTGTATTTTTTGTGGTAAATTATCACGGCTAAATACACCTCTAAAATATTTTATTCCTAATTGTTTGACCCATTGTAACAGATCAATATTCGATAACGGTTTGTTTATGAATTCTATAGTATTGTTCCTAGAATTGGGATTGAATTGAATGGGCTGTTTTTTCCGAGCAGCAGACCCTTTCCCTTTCTTTTTTTTTTTACTCCCATACCAACTGGATTTTCCCATGTTCCAAAAAAGGGGGTGACATGTAGGGATACGGATTATACATTCCGTGGCCATTAGTTGTATCGGGGACATAAACAGATGTTGTATTAGCGGAACCGGTTCTGTCAGCCTGCAGTCCTTTTCCCGTCAATGCGTTAGTAATAGTGGGACTCCTATACTCGCTAGCAGAGTTCCTAAAAAACCACCCTGCTGTGTTTTCGTCGGTCTGATAACTAATCCGTTACCAGTTTGGAGAGCATTGAGAATATCCCTTTTCTGGCCTGTGGATAGTAAATGTTTGTACGCAATCAATTGTGCTATTTTTTCCTGTGGAATAAGAAAACCTCCTCGTTGACCTTTCCCGAATATTTTATCCACACCTAAACTGGCTAATCCTGATAACGCTCCTGTTGCAAGCGGTGCGATAGCTTTTTTGGCTAGGGGCATTGCCATAGGTAACAACTTGCTTCCTTAATTGATTAATGATCCCCACAAACTACCACCCTGTCTAACAGCCTTTCTGATTTGTGTTTTGATATTTTGATATCCGACCCTGTACCCTGGCTCATTGCTTTTCTCAGCTTATTGATCTGAGTTTTTGTGAGCATTAATTCATGTGGGCCGGATAACTCATATCTGGCTAATCTGATCGTTATTGCTGAGTTATTATTATAAGCTCTCGAAAGCTAAGCTCCTTTACTAAGTGACACACCATAAGGATAATATTTCGTCATTACTTATATATAATATACGTTACATAATTTTAACCATATTCAATTTACGATCTGAGTATTATTTTACCATCTTTCTGTATTAGCTCAACATCTTGCTCGTATAATGTTAATGCGTAAATTGAGTAGGCTGTTGCCGTTGTTCCAGATAGATCATATTTAAATGTCAGTTTTGTGGTGCCATCCTTAATGTCCATTTTTTGTTTTGTTAGGTCGAAATATAAGAATGGAAACAAATTACTAAAATAAGATTTATTGAGCAATGACCCTTCACCGTATTCATTATTTTTGTGAACATATTTCAACACATCCCTAAAGACTCTAGTCATATCAGTACTTGGTGTGTAATGTATTTCGGGGTATTCGTTTCCGTTTCCAACTTCCAGGTGACAATTGGACAAGGTTCTTGGGTCAGTTGATTCAGAAAATGTATTGTACAAGAATGGATTAGCTGTCTGGGCATCGATATTCGCATCATTGATTATAAACACAAACACGTGTCGGGGTTTCGAAATACCAGAAGAGATTCTGAAATGCCCAGCTCTCTGCTGGCTACTATTTGATCTTTCAATATTCTCTCTCAAATAAGTCCACTTACGATCTTTAAGGTATTGGCTCATATAGGATGATTGTCCCTCACTGTTAAAGGTTATTCGCGGAACATACAATTGCATCCTAGTGATAACCACTCGGCAATCAGCCCCGGCTTGCCAAATTAGATTACCATCTGACTCTCAAAATTCATCTCAACCCTTGTATTGGGTAACAGCTCATCCTCTAACATTTCAAAGAATGAGTATCTGTTCAGTGGTATTTCTGTATTTACTGTAGATGAGACACCTAAAATTGCTTTCCGAAGAGCAAAAACTTTATTATAATTAGCTACTACATCATCCAACATTAATCCTGCATCATCGGCGTTATTGGCAGCATTTCTTCTATGAGTTACTCGTCTTTTAGTGAATCTTGTTTCCTCTGGGTGTCTTGTTGTATCAAGATAGAAAAACTCATTGCTGGCGGTTTGTTCGGCGTAAGGGGGACCGTACTCAAGCAAATTCTTAATATTTACCGCGTGATTCGCGTCATTACAATCATACACTTTCTTACCGTTCAGTTTAATGTCAAAATGTTTCAATAGTGAGTACGACCCGTTTACAGTACCATTATGATCTGCTACTGCAATATTGCCTCCATTAGCCAGCAAGACTACTTTGAAATCTACACTGATTCGGGCATTATACCAGTCGAATGGTGTAACCTCACCACTGTTATCAACAACAAACCTATAGCCATCTTTCTTCTGATGAGCATTATTGGCCACAGTTGTATTTAGTGCTGTTTCTAGGTCAAAAATAACATCTTCATATCGTTCAACATACTTTGGATCTCTAAAAGATTTCATTATATTAATAGATTACATAAATCTTCTCATCTGGCCTCCAGATAGTAATTGATTCACCCTCTCATAAATTTCGTAATCGGTGAGTTCTCTTTATTGTGGATTTTCTATTGGCGATGTCGCTACTGGTGATGCTACTACCGGTGTCTTTTTATTCTTTTTGCTTAATAATTGAACAATTTTATCGCCTGCTTTTTCGCCAGCATATTCACCAGTTTTAGTAGCAGCTTTTTGAACGGCCTTTTTTGTTGCCGTTTTAGCAGCCTCTTTCATCGTCTTTCCAAATAGCTTTCTACCAATTGTTTTGAAAACATCGGTAACACCTTCTCCATAAATATGCTTCTTAACATATCTCCCCGTTTTAACATCATAACGTTTCTTGAATTCTGATTGTCTCATTGTATATTATTAGGTTACATATTATGTTGGTTTGGATCGCAATATCAATGTCATAAACCAGTCAATCCTATTTAGTCCAATTGGTCGCCCGAGTGAGTCTGTGATATAAAACCTCATTTGTGAAATATTAAGTTGGGAAACTTCATTAAACAATAGTCTTCTAGGTTCAAATGTGAATGGGAAACTTCTTGTCAAATTGTCAGTTGGAATAACAGCTAACGTATTAGTATTAACACCATTCAATATGCTGTTCGTAATAGCATCGGTATTGATGTAGATCCTATCAATGGAATTTGTGATATTGGGAAGAATTGTCCCATATTCTGTTTTTGTCACAATTTTTTCTGTAAATCCAATTAACTCGCCAAATTTACTGTTTTTTAGATTCAGTTGGTAATTGTTATCGATCTTAATGAGAATCTTGTATGTCGATAATACGAATGTTAGGTTAATGTAGTATACATCATCCTTTTTTGCATCAGTAGTAAAATGGCCTTTCTTTTTCATGTACCGATGGAGATAGTCATTTAGATCTGAATAAGTGTACATCCTATCCACAAATTTGACGGTTTCCCATGATGTGCCACCATCAGGTGAGTATTTTATTTCCTTATTTTGATACTGTTCTGAAATATTGTGCCAACTGTAAGTTATAGTGGCCTTATCCAAGGCTATTTCATGTGTCATGTTATTTTGGAGTTTTAACACTGGATCAAATTTGATTATGAAGTCCTCTGCTTTATTCCGTCCGATTTTCTGTCTATTAACAGATGATATATGGATTGCTCTTTCTTGCATTTATATTATTAGATTACATATTCCTTCAACAGACTATTAAGCTGGTTGTTATTTAGAATACCTAATTTGTTCAGTGTGTGAGCAATTTTGGAAAATTCATTTTTCACACCATTATTTCCAGCCAATATGGATCCACCTAATAATTCTAATCTGTCCAATAGATCAACTGGGTTATTATAATAAACAACCCCTGAACCGATTTTTTTGTACTTATTACTGGTTCGGTGAATTGGAATATCACTTATTCTGTTCAGGTCATCAAATACCATTTTTGATAATGGTGAATACTTCTTTTTACTATTGAACCGCTTTGTGAGCAGATCAAGGGTATCAAAGTCGACTTGCTTATCATATACTTTTTTACCATCCTTATGAGCAGTTAGTTTAAGCTGGCCATAAAGTTTGGGCACATCAATGGTTACCTTTCCATAAACACCAGTATTAGGGTTAGTCTTATAGGCATTTCTCTTTTTTTGTGTATAAATACCCTGACCAACTTTCAATGTTTTTGCGCCTTCTTCTACAATACCAATTCTTTGTCTGTATTTTCTTATGATATCAATTCCTTCAGTATACTCGGTAATTTCATCCTTATTTTTCTTTCTGTTAGCTTTTGTTGTGCTTAAACTGGCTTTTTTCTGGCCCAAGTCCTTATTTATTTTACCAGATTTATCTAATATTTGTTTTGCATAATTTGGCTCTTTTAAGGTTTGCAAAAAGATGTCAGCCGGTAATGGCAATTGCTGGTTTTTTATGAATGCCAATTCTTCTTGAGTAAATCCTTTATACATATCAGCTATCATTTTAGGTGCCACCTCACCACTTGGGCCCGGTAATGCTAATCTTTGAACTTGTTCACCATAGGGAATAACTTGTTTATTAACATCTTCTCTCAATTAACTGATTTCCTCAATTTCCTTATCAAACTTTTCTGTTAGAGGTTTTAGATCTTTAGCCACCTTTTTATATAAATCTTGATCTCTAGTTTCAACTTCTTTTATAACATCCCTAACAACTTCAGTCATTTTTCCTGCTTCAATTTTAGGAATACTGAGTCTCTTGAATCTTTCTATATCCATTATACTATTGTGTTATATAAAACTTATCTCAACTTATCTGAACTTATCTTGAATTATCTAACATAATATTATATGGAGATTCCAAATTATGATTTCAATGAAGATGAAAATACAAACTTCAAACAGCTGTACAAGTATATGCCCAAATCCAATTTTAGGATGCTAATATGTGGCAATTCAGGGTCAGGCAAAACAAACTTACTTTTTCACATGCTTATGAAACCATTAGTCTATTATGATCAGATCCATTTATACGGTAAAAACTTGGAACAGGAAAAGTATCGACACATGATAGAAACAATGAATGACATTAGTAGCCAGGTTGGATATGACATAATGCACTGCAATAATGATGACATTAAACCTGTTAATAGTCTGGAAAGTGATGCCCAGAAAATTGTAATATTTGATGACTTCATTTGTGATAAGAACCAAAAGCCGCTTATCGATTATTTTATTCAAGGCCGTCATAAGAACTGCAGTGTTATTTACCTTTCACAATCATTTTATAAAACACCAAAAGATATCAGACTAAACTGCAGTCATTATATTGTTTATGATTTCCCTAGCAGTAATGAGAGAAATATGATTTCTAGAGAGTTGAATGTAACAAAGGATCAGTATATTAAAGCCACTAAACAGCCATACTCATTCCTATATGTGGATAAACCAATGAAGACTGTCAAAAGAAACTTTTATGGACATATCTAATATACTATTATAAAATGGGAATATTTAATCAGCAACCTAATTATAATCAATCATATACGAAAGAAAAACGCCGGAATTACTGGCCCTCAAGGACCTCCTGGCCCACCTGGCCCCGCTGGTGCTCAGGGTAACCAAGGTCCAAAAGGTGATCAGGGTATTCAAGGACCCAAAGGTGATCAAGGTGCTACTGGTCCTACTGGCCCTAAAGGTGCTACTGGTGCATCAGGCACTGGTTTTAATCTCGCATCAGATGGGAATTATGATATATCAAACAAAAAGCTGACAAGTGTGGCTAAGGGGACTGCTTCCAATGATGCCGTAACTAAAAATCAACTTGATACTAAACTAGCACTTTCTGGTGGATTAATGACCGGCAATTTGGATATGAATAGCAAAAGGATATACAATGTAGCACAACCAGATGGTGATAATCAACCAGCTACAAAAGTTTGGTCAGAAAATAAATTCCTGGATAAGTCCAGTGGAGTAATGGCTGGACCACTAAATATGTCCAATAATAAAATTACTCATCTTGCAACAGCAACAGCTAATGGAGATGCAGTAGACTTTGAGTTCTTTAATAAATATTCCATACCCGGGTCTAGAATCAGACATAACCAATTCCAGGTTAACAATACTAATTTACTTGGTTTAGTACAAAGTGGATATGAATATTCTAGTGAAGCTGCTACTTTAGGGTGGTCTAAAAATAAATTTTTACAGAGAACTGGCATTAATTCTATGACTGGTGATTTGAAAATGGGAAATAATAAAATAACCAATCTAGCCGACCCAACTGATACTACTGATGGGGTTAACAAAAAATACATAGATGATAATTATTTGAAACTGTCCGGTGGCACTATGACTGGTCATATAATATTAAACAATGCTGTTCTTACTTCACAATATCAAGCAATAAGCCGGAACACTGGAAATGCATTTTTTGTACAAATTTCTAATCCATATGTTTACCACCAATTTAATATGGTCAAAAACAAGATTATTAATCTTGGAGACCCGACTGATGCTACTGATGCTATTAATCTGAGAACATTGAAAAAACATTTTATAAAGCCATCTGATCATACTAACAGATTTGCATATCTCATGGACCCTAAAAATGGTCTTTTACAACGGACTGATTTACTAACTGACAGTATTGCCCTAAACAGCATTGGTGATTTGAATGCAACATCAGGCAACTACCACACATACAATAAAAAGGTGATTTTCGCATTCATTAAGAAGAATTCAGGGGGTGGTTATAAATGGCGATTAGCTATCCAATGCTATCGCCTTCAAAAGGACAAAGAATATACCCTTTGTTTGGAAATCCTTACTACTGACTATAAATTATGGCACAAATCTGTAATTACTGTTGACACAACTACCAGCCAAGGAGTAGCTGTGAAAAGATGGCATGTCAATAAGTACTCACATGAGTATAGAACATCTTACAATCAGGTTGAAAATATGTACTATCATAAACTTCTGGTGACATTCAGTAAGACAGCATCCTCCACCCCTTATTTCTTACATATCCAGGATGTTATGGCTCAGTCGGGAATTGACTTGAACACATATCCAACTAATTTCAATAAATACTACCTAATAGCTTATGGTATTCTTGGTGAAACAATGGATTTAGATCCAAACAAAACTTATGATTACCATACAGCTTTTGATATTAAGCCGACTGAAGTTGTTTACAATGTTGATCTGGATATGAAGAGAAGAAAATATTAAACATTGCGCCAGATCGCACTAAAAATAATTCAGCGGCGACGGTAAAGATGGTCAAAGATTTGGATACGAAATTGAGCCCTCATACAAAGAATAATGTGTACAGGGAAATATTTGAGGAATTTTATGATTTAAGCGATGCTAGTAACTATAAAATAATAATAGGAGTATCAGGTATCATGGTTTCAGGTATCAAACCTAATATTTATTTTCCTAGAATGGATATTGCCAATATTTGGGAGGGCGGAGTGAGAATAAAAAATACCACATTAAGTTTGAAATTATTCAGTAAAAGGAGCTTTACTCTTTGTGTTGTTATGCAGCTGTGGCTGAACCGATCATTTACTATTAAAACATTAACGAGTGATGGATCTTATGAAAGACCACATTTGATTTATGACAAAACAACAAAGAAATTAAAACTGCAAACTAATGGTCATGGGTCAACTAACGAAACTTCTATCACATTACTAAACAGTTTCAATGGTAAACGTGTTGTGTTTTGGTTGACTAAGAAAGGTACAGGGGTTGACTTAGCAGCAAAGGCATCAATTAGTAATCACAGTGCAACATTAACACTAAGTACAACTTTAACATCTCAAAGTAACTACACATTCAGAATGTTCTCAGAAGATACAGTGATCTATAGAGTAATGTACACTCCAAACTTTCATGACTTCGATTCTTTAGAATTTCACAGAATTTTGTTGCAAGAAAAACTAAACGGTTCTTATGATCTGTAATTTATCTAAACTAAAAATATAATGAGTCAAAATAAAAACATATTTAAGTTTTATCAAATAGATAAAAGCAAAACAAAAGAAGAGATACAGGAAATCAAAGAACTGTATAAGTATTATCATTATAAACATTGGTGTCACCGACAGGCCTTCAAACACTTTAAGAAACTAAACCTGGCCATAAATATATCCTCCACTGGATTGATAGTAATTGGGGCTGTTGCTGGTGGTTTGACGGCCAACCCGGCCATTCTAGGAAGCATATCAGGCGCTGGTTTAGTTCTTAAAACGCTTTCTGACACGAAAAACTATAAACGAAAAATAGAGATGTCAAAGTTTGCTTACACTTCTTACGACAAGACATTAGTTAGTCTGAGAACTTCGTTACGAGGTGGTACCTTCATTAAGGACGACTTCTTAAAGGAAATGACAGTCCTCGATGAAACAATTGTCGATTTTTCTCCATTAGTGACAAGATTTGAGAAGCAGTACGCTAAAAAGTTTCTCTCCCATCCAGCAAAAACTGAATAAATGTTCTCTGTCGAGAAAAACAAAATGGCGGACGTTTTAGTCTGGATAGTGCTCCATGTAAGTAACCCGAAGTACAACCTCGTCCCCAGGGTCTCTCGATCAATGAGTCATAGGGGGCTTTTCCTACTTCCGGTCCAAATTCTGAGAAATCAGACGGCTAATATCAGCCTTGATTAAGGAATAAACTCTCTTCCACCAATTTTCATAATATCGTAGTGTATCTTTTGACTGAGTAATAGGAATAATCTTATATTTTACTCCTAAAATATCAAAAAGTTGTTTTATAATAAAATTCACACTAATAAGCCGTCTTCTGCGACAATTATTGACTTGCGGTATAAATTGGTCAATCAACCGAAATATTCTCAGAATCTTCTCCCGATTATAATAACCAACTTGTATATTATTATCGTCTGCAATATCATTGATGACATTCAAAATATGATATTTTCTGTGGTATACAGACTTTCTTTTTATCCTGTGTCTATTCTCATAAAAATCTACATACTCGTCTGCTGTTAAATAATCATGTATTTGGCCACAATTCTTACACACGATAAAACCGTCTTTGATCAGTCTCATAGAATCGCAACAAAAATATCGCTTGGGCTTACCAGGGTCCTGGATCTGTTTATTACAAAAGATACAATTAATATGACTTTCCTGGATCAATAACTCGTGAACTTCTTCATTACACATTTCTATATACTATCTTTAGATTTTTATATAATATTTGCCCCCACTGAGACTGCGTATTACCAGAGGAAAAAACCCAGTTGGAGGAGGACACAAATTACATCCCACATTTTTGAGAATATCGAATTGGACTCATATATAAGGCTAGTTTGAAATAGTACTAGAGTGTATCTTGGTGAAAGTATTACCTGATTGGAAAAACGCGAGGCCTTTCGGCTAATACTGGTGACCGGATACCCTTGTTAATGATGAGGTAAAAACCCCGCGGCTTCATCATTAACTTGGACGGGAATATATGGGAAAATGGGGAAACTCCCTTGTAGACGGTGTCCAGGGCGTTCAGTAGAGCTGTAATTGCACTGAGGACCACTCGTAAGAGGATGCCCAAAAGGCAGAGCGAAGTGCATAGGAGTGCTAGTTCGCCCCTCAACTCGAGAGGGAAAAACAAAAATCAAATGAAATAAGATGAAATGAGATGAAATTTGGAAAAGCCCTGTAAATGGCCGGCCTATGGGTAATAAGAATAAAACCGTACCTTCTCAGGAGGGACTGAGGGGAAATGAGGGGATGGGAGGTAGGGATGGGAAAATGGGGGAGTCCTCCTGAGAAGGTCTGGTGGCCACCAGTTTTGTTAATTTTTTATTCGTTTATTATAGTAAAATTTTTATATAATCTTATATTTTATGAGTTCTTATGAAAGTTTTAGTGATTCCGATCAATCAAGCCAAGATTATAGTCAATCATTAGGGTCTCAAGATTCATATGGTAGTCAGTCACTTGAGACATGGGATGATAGCTATGAGTCTTCTTTTATTGATGATAGTAGTCAGTCCTCTTGGTCTGATAGTCAGTCAAGCCAGGATTGTGGGTAAATTGTTGCCTACCCCAAATGCCCATAAACCTCACCCGGTGAAACGCTTGGTTAGGTCAGAATTATATAACCTTATAAATAATCTATTTAAAATTATTTTGTTCATATAATATATCTGATGAGAATGATTGAAAAAATGTTTGTTAATGACGATTTAGAAATTGAGCTCACATCATATATTGATGATAAGCAAAATGTTTGGTCCCGAGAAAAAGATGTTGCTACTATTCTCGGTTATAGTGACACTGATAAGTCTATAAGAATCCACGTATCAGAAGAAAACAAAATATCACAACTTGTATGGCCAAAATGTTCCCCCACCAATTCGGCGGGTCAACAAAATGACGTGAGAGGTAAATGGGGTATGTTCATAAATGAAGCTGGTTTTTATGAACTTGTGTTTAGTTCCAAATTAGAGTTTGCTAAAAGATTCCGTCAATGGGTATTTACTACAGTCCTCCCATCTATCCGCAAGTATGGCCAATACAAACTATTTGATAGTGCCTGGAATAAAATGATCATGATTGGCAATGAAACCAGTCTACATTATCAAATTATTAAAGTTATTGGACGATTCTACCCACATGCTTTACTTTACCAGTTCAAAACGTATTTATGCTTATCGCAAAGGCTATCAACGTGGACAAGCTGATATTGTTATTGGTAATAAGCATGTTTCCTATCAAGGTTTCGCTATTGAACTTAAAAACCCTAATAATAATTATCAAATTAGTGATGCTCAATTGAATATGGAAAAAATCTATGAACTTAATGGGTATAAATATCTTTGCTCAAATGATTATGATTTTATAATAAAAGAAATTCATGATTATATGACAGGTATTTGTCTGTCTTGTAATCATTGTAACAAAAAATTCAAACATCTTAATTCACTTAATAACCATCACAAATATTTTCATAAAATTGCTGGTTAATCTTAAAATGACCGTAAGCCCAAGAATTACATCCATCATCTAATATGTAACGTTTATCATCAAAACAGCTTAGTGATATTTTATTCAGTTTATAACTACCTATTTGATGGTTTACTGATCTAATCGTATTCATCTTATGTAACAGTTGTTTACGATTAAATAAACAATCTTTATAATTCTCATGTGTTATCTCTTTTTGTATCACATGTTTTCTGATTCCTTTCGCCGTCTTCTCATTTTTATTATTTTCTTTCACATATGAATACATCTTACTTCGTAGCCCAACAAATTCTTTAATTGGCATTCCCGCCGCTTCATCCTTAAATTAACCTATTACTTTTTGATTTTCAGAACTATAATATTGGCTGTCTTTTGGGTAATCACTATTATCAAATAACTCTTTATCTTCCCAAAGCTCATTATAAATATATTTTGTTTGGATCTCATAACATAGACTATCTGTATCTGTAAATAATAATTTCGCTTTATTCTCATATCTTCTTTTAATATAATTATAGTGAAATTCATACATTAGAGTCTTTGATAAATCCAAAATACACATACCTACATAAGCTGGTCTATCAAGTTTTAATATTTCTTTTCGTTTATGAACTGCAACAAGATCTTCACTGAATATTTTACTATTAACAAATGTCGGTTTGCTTGCAAGTTTGGATAATTTCTTTTTATCAGTTACTAATCTTACATCAACACGTTTTCTGATATTTTCCATCGTTTTTCCAAATACTGAATTATTTAACAATTTGAAAAAGTCCTTCTCAAATGCATTCTTTGCATTCATCCTCTTTTCCGTGTTAAAATTTATATACTTCGCCAGCCAGGGTAATTGATCAAATTCTAATATTCGATGCACTTTCTTTAATTTTAAACCAAGGTATAAATATAATTGTAAATTGCGCTAATGTAACACATAATTCTTTTTACTTGAAAATGTTGGAATTAACTTTGAAACCTGAAAAATACTTATACCAAAACTGCTTCTGAATATCCTGACAATATGGTGATAACTTATCTGTCGTCACTTTCATTTTTTCCGCGGCTAAAGGATAATCATTATGTCTGTCATGTAAGTCTTTTGGATATTCCTAAATCTACTTCTAATATCATACCTTTTTTGCGGTCTTCTCTACATACATTTATATTCAATTTTTGAATTTGTTTGTCAGTCAGCCACCTAAAACCTCCGGTTGGTAAATATTGACTCATCGCCCATCCATAAAGGTTATTAGCATCTAAATACATTATATATTTGTTTGGTTCATCTGGTTTATAACTACTCATATATTTATTATTCGCTTTTCCATATCGATTCGCAATATATGAAATACCACCACGTAAGCCCTTTTCTGTGAATTGAAACATATCAATATCTGTCATCAGATCCAATTTAATACCAGTCATTTTTAACATTGCGTCCCAACTTAAACCTGGAGATGTAAAATAATGACAAGGATCTAATTCATAATATTGATGACATGTTTTACGGAAATTCTCAAAAACATCCGCCAATAAAAGAATATCAGACTTCATATACACATCATGATAATCACCCATTGTTTTCATATTAAAATTATTCCAAACTTTTGAGCATGTTTATATTGCTCATCAGATATATTTTCATCTGTTAGTAAACTATAAAATTCATCTTTTTCTGGCAGCTTTGTATCACTAAACTTCTGCCAACAATCCATATAATCATATGGATAAACACCTTTCTTTTTCATCAATTCTAATTTATCATTTGGAAATACTTGACTTGTATATTTAAATACCATCACCTGGTAAATTATCAACTAATTTTTCAAGGCTACTAACCATAAATTGAAAACTATCCAAAAATACTAAATGTTTGCCAAGCATAAAAGCCATATACTTTTCCATATTATTGGGGATACAATTAATACTTAAATTATTACTTTTTCCAATTGATCCAATTTGTTGCATTATAAAATGAGAATCATATCCACGTAAATTATGAAATATAACAGGCACCTTCAATTTACTTGCATCTAGCTTTAATTTTAAATTACATTCTTGATGTGCTGATCCTCGATACTTTCCAGTAATGTCATAATGATCTGGAACTTTTATCTCATTATCTAAATATTTATTACCACAAATATAGCATTTATCGGATCCTTGAAATACGTCTTCCTCCTCTTCCGTCATTTCAAGTGGTTTTTGAAACTCCATATTCATCATTTTTTTTTACAATATTCTACTTCTTCTAAGCATATCCAACATGAAATAACTAATCGTATTCTCCCCTCGATAGATCTTAACTGGTTTTGAATATTTATCATCATAACAACATACTAATTTATAACCATAACTACAATACGTATGTTTTTGGTATTGATTCGTATAAGATTTAACATTATTCGGTTCACATCCAGATATTTTCTCTGTTACCGCTTCAAAATCCGCATATATCACAAATGGGGCTAGCATCTGTTTATGATGATTAGTAAATTCAATTTTACTCACTGGTTCTGGCATTTTAATCGCTTGTTGCCCATTTATCACCATACAATTACTCTTATGTTTCTCTAATATCTTATCTGCGCTAAAACACTGTAGACAAAACATACAAAAATGCTTGCGCTCCTTATGTTTCGTCTTATTATACATCATCTTATTAAAATCCTTAATTAAGACATAATGTCGCTTCTCACCCTTAGTAATAAGTAGTAGGTTTAACACTTTATCATTCATCTTTTTTGAAATATAAATTGGAAAAAATTGCTCTTCCTCATAACCAAACACATTAATATTGATACTATTTTGCTCTTCTATTTTGCTGTAATGTTTCACATTAACTGGAAACTCAACTCCTTGGTAATTTAATTGTGAAACCATATCTTTGTCAATTATCTTAGCTCGTTGGGGATCTTTATTTTGTGGGTTTAGATATCGAATATGACACCAACGAAAACATTCATTATCCTTATTTTTAATATTAATTAACCCCTTTGGAGAGTTCCGCAATTCAACCGGTAGAGGAATATAAGAATTACCTTTCATCGGCTCATACACAACTGTATTTAAATAATGCTCATCAATGCTACTAATATTCCATCCACTACCCTCCGATAACCAAACACTAATGTGGTTCATTATTTGTTGTTGTGCTAATTCTAAGCTGGATGAAATATCATTTGAATTCATCACAATCTGCACTTTACTATTAAAATAACCTGATTTGTCTATCAACTCACCATCCTTCATCTTTATAAATGTAACTTTTAATGTCTCCACAAATTTAAAACCCTTTGTATCATTTAATATTTTATCAAATAATCTACTCATGGCGAGTCTTGTATTTTGTAGCTGCACTAAATTATCTTTATTGTCCTTTATTCCAATCTCATAGGATTTCGTAAAACCCTTCAGGGCCTTATGTGTTTCAGCAATTTTAGTCCTTGGTAAAGGCACTGGTTGTTTTATTTTTTCTAGGAGGCGCAATTGGTTGATATAATGGAATACGATTATTCTCAAAATAACGAATTAATTGCTTAACACCCATCTTTCTTGGAGCTGGAGTTGGAATTCTTTTTCGTGGAGTAGGAACAGGGCGCCTTTTTGGTTCTCGAATTTGAACTAAAGTTTCAAGCTCACTACCAGTCAACCCAGATAACAATCTTCTTAAAAGCTCATTACGACTAGTCTTCATACTATTACCATATATAATTTTTTTTTCCGAACGCATCATAATATTAAATTTTAATAATTATTTCTTTAAACCTATTAATTATTTAAAATCGAGCGCCCGAAATGCGGTCGTCAGTAAAAACCCCAAACCATATACTATGCGCCTGTACCCCCATGTGTAATACTACTGATTACGACTGTGGTTACTACCAGAACCGCCCCTACGACTACCGTCGACGGCGATCGATGTGATGTGATGTTATTTAAGTGAAATGAGAGAGAGTTGGGTGATTTGTGCAGAGGGTTTTAAAACAGTCGGCCTATCATATAAGACAATTTTAATGACGTTTAAATGTTTTAATATTTATGTAACTATCCCTGTAGATTCTTAAAAAGTAGGATTTTGACCTTTCTACAGCTACCAATTAACAAATAAAAATACTTCATAAAAAGATATAAAGTGTTAAATTATGTTCACAAGTCATAAGGCAACAAACTTCCACATGGGGGAACGTAATGTAGTTTAAAAAGCTGTATCTGTTGTGGTTCAATTTATGTCCATTTTTTTGGACATGGTAATGCTTGATAATGAGTTTAAACAAAAAAAAATTAAACCAAAGATAAAAATGGACCACAACATATACAAATTGTCTGGAGCAGAACTGGTAAAGTAACTTTTAAGAAGTTTACTCGCAGTTTACTTAACCCAGTAAGTACAGTCAATTCTTGCTATCACAGAGACCCTGTCACTGAAGGACAAGAGAACACTAGCATTGGAAGGCTAACGCTTCCCTGTGTAAATGAGTTTCAAGCTCGCTCTTCTTTTCCAACTCTCACGACTGCTTATATTGTCTCCTGCCTAATGTTCATCCACTCCATTAAAATACTTAACGCACTAGAAGAACTACAGTCAGCCTAAATGTAAAATCTATGTTACCCATTTATATAATAGATGCTTCCAAAGTTATCATCGCGCCATCACGGACTGTTGCTATAAAAGGACACCAACGCACTGTCCAATAGGGTGACCATAATAAAGGGAGTTGACTGTAGCTAATCCTGCGTGATAAACGAAACTAAAACTTTTTGTTACGTCCTTGTTTTGAGCCCCTAGCTGTGTACCACGATTTGAGTACACACTATTGTTGGCAAGTTGAATATGAAATTATCGATTCGCCAATCAGGTTAAAGGGAAATTCAAAACACACTTTTAGTAATTTCTTCTGTTAGCCAGGAGTCCAGAACAAGGATCTTAGCGCTGCTTCACGGACTTTATTAGCCGGAGTTAGCTTACGTGTTCAAACAAAGCCCGATAACTGTAGCTGGGGAACTTACTGGTAAAAGTGATAATATAAAAAGCTTAAAACTACAAAGAACATTTTTTTTCTCCAAAACAACCATTAACCATGTTGCCCCCCGTGGGAACACAAATAATTCCTCAGCAAAATGAATCTTCATACAATCTAGATCTTCGAATATGGTTAATAAAAAACGAGCTAGGCTAGTAAATAATTGGAAATCCGGGTTGCAAGAAAGAAAGGTGGGCCGTAAAAGGCGATAATATCTCATGTAAGGCCCTGTCCACAANTTTAGTAATTTCTTCTGTTAGCCAGGAGTCCAGAACAAGGATCTTAGCGCTGCTTCACGGACTTTATTAGCCGGAGTTAGCTTACGTGTTCAAACAAAGCCCGATAACTGTAGCTGGGGAACTTACTGGTAAAAGTGATAATATAAAAAGCTTAAAACTACAAAGAACATTTTTTTTCTCCAAAACAACCATTAACCATGTTGCCCCCCGTGGGAACACAAATAATTCCTCAGCAAAATGAATCTTCATACAATCTAGATCTTCGAATATGGTTAATAAAAAACGAGCTAGGCTAGTAAATAATTGGAAATCCGGGTTGCAAGAAAGAAAGGTGGGCCGTAAAAGGCGATAATATCTCATGTAAGGCCCTGTCCACAAGTATCCGTTTTGATTTGAAAACGCAATTTTTTCTTTACGGATACGACTTCCCTCCACACGTATCCGATGAAAACGATCAATGACAACGGAACTTTTCGAGAACGCTGAGGTCACACTATCAGCTGCAATCCACTCCGCGCAATATTAGGAACTTATTCAAGATGGCGGACGGGCGCTTCCCTTTCTTGTCTTTTTTGCTTGGGCTTATTTCAAACCTAATGGCTTGTTTTAAGCAAATTTAGCTTTGTTAATTATTCAAGCTGACTATTCCAGGAGGCTGCAGAACATTGTCGGGTTACTTTCGCTACCGGTGTCAAGAGGCATACGCATGCGCAGTCGGTTAAGTTATCGTTTTCGAATCGATTTATGTTATACGTTTGGACCGGCGAAAACGCTACGAATACGTGCGGACAAGGCCTACATTTAACCGTAGTCGTAATTAATAAAAGCTGATGACGAGACTTTAAACAGCCTTTTGAAATTTTTTAACACATACCCACAGGTATTAACTTCACTGTTGGTGTAACTTCCTAGAAAAGTACAGACATTCTTGGCAGGGGGGGTTTTGGTTATAAAACCTTAAACTAATACAATATGCATATTTTGCAAACATAAAACCTACAGAGCTCAAAATTCTAACATAACAGACATTTGTCTCGGTAATTTTTCCTCCCGTTTCTATGCCATTATCTAATGTACTCTGCGAGGGCCTATACTGTAATTATTAAAAGGGCTTGTTTAACGTTTGTCTCACTATTGTCTCTCATTGATCACGACGTTTTGATTGCGTACTGCTAGTCCTCTTCATCAGGCGATGGTGTCGATTTTCCTACTTAGGTACCTCCAAATTACTCACTAAGATTTAGAAGTACGCCTCAACACAAGCTGTCATTACAGAATTAAGAGGCAAAACGAATCCTTGAGGGAAGCAAAAAAAAAATGACAATGCAAATGATAGAAATTAACAACCATGGTTGAGATTCCAAACTTAATCACTAGCAACCACGGTGCCACTAATAGTACCTCACAGTAAGTTTGCATTAACGCGTGATTGAGACCAGCAGTAAGCGATCGAAACGTCCCGATCAATAAATACCGTTAGATTCTAATACGATTGAGACTGCAGGTACGAGTTTTTAGTGCACGCGCTTGAACCAAAGTCATTTTGGCGGGAAAACGTGATAGCCGTAGTCATCCTACTACGAATTTTGGCGAGAATGTCGAAGTGGCGGAAACAAGTTGACAAATGTTAGAATTTTTATCATTTTAGGATAGGGAGACGAATTAATCTCCTTCAGTAAAATAATAATGCCAAATAATTTGGTGGAGAAAAGCACAATGAAACTTTCCGAGGTATCTATTTCTTTGAGAAGACGAGAAAAAAACTTGAAGTTAAATCTGGTCCGCTTAGTCGTCCTCGTCCTCGAATCTAAGGGTCTCTAATAACTACCAAGTATTCTGGTAATAAATTGATAAACGAGCCATGTATAATGCACAAATCAAGATTCTTTCATTATAATGATAACATCATGGGTGACGAATTACTCCTTAATTTTGGCGCGAAATTTCGGCATTAATTTGTAATTTCACATGTGAAATGGAAACCTTCCGTTCACCTCAGTGAAAAGATGGCGACATAGTTTTAAAATGTTGTGAATGAAGATGTCACGGGCATTAAAAGACGCTTTAGAAAACCTAAACACAGGAAACAGCACATCAAGAAGGATTCTAATAGGTATTTTGTCGAAAAATTCTGAACTTGAGGCAAAATTTAATATCTGAAGTTTTCAGTGCGCGGAGTTCTCGATCGATAATCAATTTGATAAATTTATCCCAAACCAACGATTGTGAGTGCAATTCGTCATCCATAATATCAATTGGTAATCAAGAGGCTCGGGAAATTATTAGGATTTGGACAAAACAAGCGTGGAATTTTTTCCTAATTTCACTCGTCACCGTTTGATTACACGTACTAACTTGTGGGAATTTTGAGTCTGTGTAGGGGTACTAATACTTTGAAATTAAAAACCTTACCACTGATACTCCTCCAAGTTTACAGCATTTTCATCTGTGATAGCTTTCGCTTGCATTAAATGTTTTACCAAAATTTACGATACAACTGAAACAATCCCGGTAGTAATTGTTTACAGATCTCTTTGCTCCTTCCCCTTAACGGGGCAATGATAAGAAACCACGTGATTATGACCGGGTTACTATATTACTTCCAATTAAAGGACAATTTCAAATTTTTGTCACATCTCGCAACTACAATATTGGCTCATGGGATGCTTACTCAAATTTGCTCCTGAAAACAATCAGCTACTTCTTTTGTTTTACTCCAAAGGCTCTTCCTGCTAGGCCCAGGCTTTCTCAATCTCATCCCAGGTTTCCTCCGACAAATCTGTTGAGTGCATCGAGAAAGAAAACTTAATCTGCAATTCAGTAACTTCAAATTATTCCTACAGTCCAGTACTAACAAAAACTCAAATCCCCCTCACCCAGTGAAAATTGTAACCATCTCTTAAACTTGATCTGTGATCCGAAATCAATTTATTTCAAATAAATGATTATAATTTATTATTCCTGGACCTAAAAAGCTTTAATAAAAATCTTACCTCGCTTGTATTGGCTACTTGTACTTGTACTTGTAAGTATGTAATGGAAGCTTCGCTTTTAGGCTTGGCTAATCACAATAATATATACCTCTTATTAGCCGAGTTTTCGGCCCGTTCTGTAAATTACGGACCGAGTTTTTTTGCATCGATTTATGGCCCAAGCGCGAGGCGCGCGGGCCATAAATTGATGGAAAAAAACGAGGATCCGTAATTCACAGTACGGACCGAAAAAACGAGGCTAATAAGATGTTTATTATATGGCTTCTTCCTGTTTGGGGGACCGGAAACAAGTGCAGGACGCACGATTTGACAGTCATTTGACAGGTGTCCAAAAAGAAAGTTTTTATTGGCGCACGAAAACAATGGCACATAACAAAGGGTTTCCGAGAAAGTAAAGACAAATTCCCCATGTTGAAAAAGTTTATTCGGTCAAAACTAAGAGCACTGTCAGTTTTAGCTCTTTAATGCAACGCTAGAGTGTTTTGGAAACCGGACACTGTGTCTGTCTAGAAGTCTTTTCCATTTTTTCTCCGTTTGTCCTTGTAAAAAAAAAAAAAAACACTGCAAAAGCGTTTCTTCGAAAAGTTCCATTCAAACAACAGTAACAGCATTCTAAGCGAGCATTTAACAAAAACCCTGTTGGAGAGAAAGACGGTCAAGTAAGAGCAGAAGTTAACACTAGACACAATTTTATTTCAAACACTGACTAGCATTCTATTCCTCGGTAAGGTTACGCTTCGTTCTCATTAAAACAAAGCTAGGTTAAAATTTCGAAAGGCAAAGTCAGCATCCCAGTCCTCAGGATTTCCAGACATATTTTAAAATCTATTCGGTCAAAACCAAGAGCACTGTAAGTATTCACTCGTTAATGTGACGCTGGAGTCTTTTGAAAACTGGACATTGTGTCTGGCTCGAACTCGCTTCTATCTTTCTTCCGTTGGTCTTTGAAAAATCACTGCAAAGGGCAAAGAAGCTTGTCAGAGAGGATCGGGTGCAGGTATGTTTGTTATCATATTTGTCGAAGAAATTACTCATTTTCTCTTAAGCAAAACATCTCGAATCTCTGCCAGTCGATTTTCGTCTTCTTAACTGTGTGCTACGATAAAATTTGCAAACACTGACTAGAATCGTATCCTCTTCGATAAGTTTACGAGTTAGTTTCTTCATCGCCTTCGTTCACAAATAACAAACACAGTTTAAAATGTTGAAGGCCAAAGTCAACATCCAAGTCCTAAAGGTTGACAGACGTCTTATAACTTTATTTAAACCTTTTTTTGCGAGGTAAAGAGATTTAGAGCTCCGAAATGAGCATTGTCTTTAAAAATTTTGGTCCGTATAGCAAGTTACGGACCGCAAATTGACCAATCGCGTGGCGAAAACAGACTCAGCCATATAATAAGCTAGTTTATCGCCTTTATTAATATTAACATTGTTATTCAATATCATTGAAAAAAAAAAAAAGACTAAGCGTCAGCTTAATACAGCTATTAGAATTCTCTTCCGGAAAAAACTGATATCACCATTCTCACCTCCAGCAAGACATTGGAAGCACCCAATGATAATTGTAATCACTACATTTTTTTTGCGAACGTTAGAGACCCAGAATTATATTTTGATCTAACCAGTTAAATTACTCTCCTCGTCCTCCACCAAGCTGACTGCGGTGTTTTCGTACTCGGCCTCCTCTTGGTCTTCTTTACATGTTACAGTTTTACCAACAACCTCTCCCTTGGAGAGTTCCAATCGGTTTGTCTCTTTGTTAAAGACAACACGGCAACACTGGAACAGGAATGGTCCTCGATTATTCTTTCTTGGTGCTATATTTGGAGGAATGTCTGTCATCCTGATGGTTCCCTTCAACTGAGCAAAGAGGGTCAAAAGGTTGAATCCTCCGTCCACTTCCACCTTGTAAGATAACACGATTAACTGAACAATTATTTTTTCAATAGCCTTTACATTGCTTTAAAGTAGATCTTACGTTTCATTTGGTTGCTATAGATGCTTAGCAATATCCTTTTTATTCTTTTATTTATTACTTTGAATCATAAAGGAATCATGGTCCTTGGTCTGGACGAAAAGGACGTAAATGATTATTCTTATCTTAGAAGAGGAGTAGTGAGCTGAAATTTGTCCTGTAAGTTTCCTTTACATTTTACTAACTTGTGACAAACCGACAGCTTCTCAGCTTTGCCGAAAATGCTGCGTCATAGAAAATGATCACTCCGTTGGAAGGCCCCTGGTTCAGCCAGTGGTTCCTTGGTCCGGCCACTTTGGCCACTTTGTAAGCCATCATGCAAACAATGGGCAAAAAGGAGCGTAAGCACCAGCTGATCTAAATTCCTGTCTATTTTCTGTAGGCATCATTTTAACTTCGAAACCAAAATGAGATTTCTGTGTAAAGAGCTATAGTTTTGGTCTCATGAAGAATTATTCACTTCTGTGAGGAATGTGTGTCGGGCAGTAACGATGCGACGGAAGCGAAATCGCCACTATATTAAATGAATTCAATCAAAGTTTAGAGAGGAAAAACATTTTTCGTCGCTTGTTTACGACCCCCAAAAAACTTCCCATCAGGGCCCGGTTCCTGAAAGGCCGATTAGCGCTAATCCAGGATTAAGATTTTGTTCCAATTTTTGTATTTACCTTCCTATACATTGCCTATTGTAACATTTTGTGTTATCATTTCTTTCTTTTTTTTTTACGTAAAGGCACAACAGTATTTTGTTAGCTCGAGTTACATGTTCTTAGACAAGAAAACCTTGCTTACAATTTGGCTTAATCCTGGGTTAAAGTTAATCATCTTTCGAGGAACCGGGCACAGGAAATTTTATGTCTTAAGGTGATGTTACTCGGGACGATTTGCAAACACGATTTTTAGCGCAACACAGCGTTGCAATGTTGGAACAATATTGTAACTATTCGAAACCATGTCGCAACAATGTTGCAACGCTGTGTTGCGCTAAAAATCGTCTTTGCGAATCGTCTTTTAGTCGTGCAGCAACGTCAAAGAAATCCGACCGAAAAGCATGCGTCATCATGATCGTGCAGTCCGTGCGGAGTAATGTTTTGCTTATTTTAATAAGCAGAAAAAGATAAAAAACCTAAAACTACCCATTGCTTGAAGTTTTTGACTTTGCTAAAGCTCCCTAATGAAACAGATTGGACGGATATAAGCTTCCTTTTTATGGCCTTCTATGTCATTACGTAATAAATAAAGTGCAGTGCTACTGAGAAAGTCTCGAACAATACATTTAACACTCATTGAAAGTGCTTTACTTAAAATGTGACTCAAAGTTGAAAGATCCTTACTTCAGTTCATGAATCCTCATTTACTAAGAACTAAACGAAACGAAAATTGAACTTTCTGAGGCTTTCCCTATTCAATCACTATTTGGCTAGGTTACGTTATCATCCGGTGACCAGACCAAAGGACCTACTCCGCAAAACTTACTTTGGAATATTATCTACAACTTTGGTTTTAAATTTCAATCTGTCAACCAAATTTTTATGCAAGTCGAAAGAACAGTTCTTTTATGCCGTGTACACCAAAAATTAACTTTCATAACACACTTAATCGCATATGCGTGAATTCAAAATATATCCAAGTAATTTAAGGCGCCATAAAAAAGACACAAACAACAGAACAAAAAAGGAATATGCTAATAATTGGCTTGTGTCACAGATAGCAGTGAGAGCCGAGACGGTGAACGTCACGGCTCAACGTGTAGGATCCAATACTTAGTTATCTTATTCGGGTTATAATATCACAAACTCTTACAAAGAGTTGCTGTGATGTTATAATATATCGCTGATTTCTTTACCCGGTTATTAGCATATTCGGGAGATTTAACCGAGGGTCCTTTTTGATGCAAATTCTATTTTTTTGCTAAATGTGCACGTGCATATGAAACTTGGAAACAATGCCAGTGAATAATGAGGACGCTTACTTGTAAACACAAAACCTGGGGGTAAAATTGGTTTCATTTGAGGCCCTATTTAAAAGCCTTCTCTGTTTCTCTGTTTTCAATGTCCTTGAAACTTGCAGGGTATATTTACTGGCAATTGATCTCGGAATTGTCAAATTTATAAAAAAATTTATTGAGCGGTTTTTTGAAAAATGCGAAATTTGTAGGCATGGACCAAATTACGTGCAAAAACCACAACAAAAGCAGCTCAATGCAAGTTAATAAAATTCTTCTTACTCGCGATCGCCCGGAGCAATTCCCCTCTTTTCTTGTACGAAGTTGGAATCAAACCACCATAAGATGAAGCCGCGTTTCCAAAGCTCATCATTTTCTTAAAAAACTAGCTAATTGTGTGGATAGCATGCTATTTCACTGTTTTTATGATGCTTAAATCTTCGTTTGAAAATATTTCGAAAACGCTCTCATAGAATTTGTTCAAACTTTGACATAATTGAGGCAATTATGGCAGGTACAAACTCCCTAAAGCAATTTCTTAAAAAACTCCAGGTACAGAGAAACACAAAGATAAATAAAAAACGTAATGGCGTTGTTACGTTGCCATGGTGACTCCGATTGCAATAAAACCCAGATCATAAGAATTTTTCATCTTTATATAATACAGTTGTGGTAATCTTTTACCCATATCTTTACTCATGGCGACGTAGTTAATGCTCAAACTTGGGAGATATCCTCCCAAAAAAATCCAGTCGAGCCACCTTAAGAAGGTTAACAGACCAATATAAACTGAGAAAGTTTCGTTTGTATTGTAAACTTATTTTCTTCCCGAAAATTACATCACAAAGTAAAACCGGCCGGACCAAGGACCATATACTGTAGTTATCAGAAGTTAAAATACCTCTTTCTTTCTATTGCCTTTAAGTTCAAAGCATTGGCTGTAAATTACTGAGGTTATCAAACGCAGTTGTTGGTCTTCAAACTCTCCTGTTTTATTACTATCCAGGACTGTTTTTTCCAATATTTCACGTAAGTCCGGGTCCTGTATGTACTCCTGATCAACTTTTCCTAGGTGTAAGAATCCCAGATCTTTTTTCATTCTAATCCCTGCATTGACGCAATCAGCAGCCTGGGTTTCCATTTCTACCGTTCTGAATATAATAAGAAACACAAAATAATCCCATTTAGACGCCAATTCTGAAACTGCCTAACAAGTACAGGGAATTTTTTGACACGTTTACATCGGGGTAACTCTTTCTTATGATGATTATAAAGAATTAAGCGTAATTTAAAGTAAAAAAATAGCAATAAATAATAAAAATAAACCTCTCCAAACCTACTAGCTGTAGTAACTAGTGTAGTTGCATTTTTTTTTAGATGTCACCGAGTTATAAAATTTAGTCTTTACTAGTCGGCTTCTTACTTAATAACAATTTGAAATTTTGAAAGCCATTGAGGGCGTTGACCTGATAGAAAATCGTTATATATATAAAAAAAAAACAAAAACAAAAACAATAATGGAACAGACAGGGAAAAAAGCCTAGTGTAGCCCTTGGGATTTGTAAATTTCACACAAAGAAGTGTTTTTAGGCCAAACAAACGCTTGAAACCAATCGGAAGTTGGTTTACCGGTGAGAACCTCAAACGTTTATTCAGTGTTATCAAGAGAGAATTCAAAAGTCGCCATTAAAATATTAGGCATTGTTTTCTTTGAGGCACTGAACGACGTTTCAAGCCATCGATTAAAATGTGCGGACGTCTCAGGAATTCAACTTCCGTTTAATTACAACCTCTAAAAATAACTTAATTGGTAAAATTCACATATCCCGTCCAACACCCTAAGATTCTCTCTCACTCCCATTTTTATTTCTTGTTCCTCGCGAAGCGAGGCGCGGAGCGCCGAGCGAAGTGAGTTTATAATCTCGTCGCGCGCGAAGCGCGCGCGCAGTGTGTGAACCGTGCGTGGGTCCTAGCGAGCTGCAAAGTCGCAGCTTTCATCTTTACTTGTATATATCGGATGGTGTCCGCCATGACGTCATACAGTAGTTGACGTCACGGCGCATTTTTGTTTCTAGGCAACATTCGACTGAAAGCAATTTCAAATTCCCATCAATGACCAAAGCACTCATGAAGAGCTGTGTTTTCGTCGTCTGCAAAACAATGTTTACTATCGGTGAATCTCAAGCCATTTCTCATGCAAACAGAACAGCATTGTGTTCTTGCGGCTTAACAGTTAGGAGCGAGGGGAAGATTTGACACCGAAAAATCCTCTGGAGCGAAGAACGCCGACTTGAAATTCAACGGCGCAAGCAACAAAGATGGATGGAGATGGTAGCAACAAAAAGCGGAGCAGAGAGAACATCACTCAATGAATTTCAAATGCTAAAGTTCTTTAAGAGCTAATGGAAGCGATTTTGGATAATTAGCCTTACAAACATATGAGCGAACATCGCGGTAACAAAACACGTTTTGCTCGCAGACGAGTTTGTACCGTATCGTCCTAGACTGTTGGGCTTCCATTCTCTACATGTAAATGCGATGAAATGCATTTACGTTGCGTTTTCACTGTCCAAACTGCAGTCATTCTTCTGAAAAATATCTTTGAACTCATGTTTCACAAGGCTCGAAGGTTTTAATAATAAAAATCCCGCGTGTGTGTTCCACGTGGTCTAGTGGTAAAACTTTCGCCCGGTGCACCGAAGGGCCCGAGTGCGAATCTGGGCAGTACCTTTTTCTCTTCACTTCTTTTCTTTTCTTCTTTTTTTTCTTTTTCTTTTCATTTAGTTTTCATTTTAGGTATAACAGTTTTGTTATGTTTCTGTATATAGCTCACAATTTTTGATTGACAAATTTTCTTCTCCGCTTTACTTGCCGTTCCCCCCAAGTCCTTCGCGAGGTCCTGCGATTTACGTATTTCTAGGTATAAATGATTGATATAAAACTGTAACTGGAAGATAATATAATTTGTGTAAATTAGAATTGACATAAATTATTATTTTGCCGGCTCGGAACAGAGGACTGGGTTCTAGTGTAGCGTGCGAAGGATCGCGGTTAGGGGATTTGATAAAGTGACCGTTTAGTTATGCGTGTCATCCTACGGTCGGCCTCGCCGCTTCAACTTGCTTTCTTTAGTTTAGTTTCCACTTATTCTGTTAGTCTTAATTTCGTTACCATCGTACTGGTCGTTATGTTTCTTAGCTATTTTATGTAGCATCTCGTTTTCTGCTCGTATTTATATTATTAGGCTTTATTTTATTTGTTTTGCCTTATAACCCCAAAAGCGACGCCATAGCATAGGTTCGGGTTACAAGGTCCCTATTTTTCCAATAATTGTTTTTTTCGGGTTTACGTGTCCGGTTGTGGCGTGTTCTTAGAATTACTGTAACAGTGGAATTTTTCACGTGAGTTAATAAAGTATATTATGGGCCTGGCTGACCGACGCGCCCATGCTTCCACGTGCTGTTTTCGTGTGTTCGGTTGCGTAGTGGAGGCAAAATGTGCTATTACTTTTATTCATACTACTACATGAGAAATTTCTGCAATTTGACTGGCTTAGAGCAGTAGTATTTCAGCTTAATTGGAAATACCTACATGTGATCATGAAAATTACAAAGCCTTTTGTGGATAATAGTGTAAACAAATAATAGCATGATTTGTAGGTGATATTTAGCACAAATATCACTCGTGATATTTCAAAATTGTCTCAAATTTCACGTATAACAATTTTGAAATATCACTTGTGGTATTTAGGCCAATTATACTACTACATAAGAAATTTCTGCAATTTGATTGGCTTAGAGCAGTGGTATTTCAGCTTAATGTGAAAAACCTACATGTGGAAATTACAAACCTTTTGCACGTAGTAGTATAAACAAATAATAGCACCATTTGTACATGATATTTGGCATAAATACCGCTTGTGATAATTCAAAATTGTCTCAAATATCACCCGCCTAACGGCTAGTGAAATTACGTATAACAATTTCGAAATATCGCCCGTGGTATTTATGCCAAATATCACCAAAAATCACGCTATTACCTAGTATAGAAATCACTACAAATCATGCTATTACCACCTATACATATCACTACAAATCATGCTATTGTCTATACAAATTCTTCGGCGTTATGTAACAGTGATGTAATTTACCCTGCAGCTCCTGTACCATCCTCCTCATCTAGTGTTATTCCAGGATCTTCTTTCTTAACAAATTTTTTCTTCAAGGCTTCAAATTCTTCTTTCCCGTTCTCAACTACATACTTTTCCATTCCTGAAAGAATTATGTACTTATGGTGTTTAAATGGACGTTCCAGGACAGACCGAGGTTGCTTTGTCATCAGGGTAAACAACTTTATATCTTGGGTACGACCTTGGACAATAGGACAATAGTTTCCATCTCGATCACCAAAATGTTCCTTAGAGAATTCTCGTAGCAAGTCTTCAACCAGCTTAAATGTATAAAGATAAAGAAAAAATGCTATTTGGCCCTGCATAATAAAAACTGAAATGAAGGAGTTAGATAAATATCTTTCTCAAATTCATTAATAATTCACGAAGAAAATACAAAGAAAATTAATGTTTATTGAGTGTTTGGAAATCAGATGAAAAATTGCTCAGTTTTGCATCCTCCCTCTAAAATCATTTCGTCATATTAAGCATTCCACACTGTGTTTCATCACCAAATGAAACACCTCAAACTGCGTGTCGTATTTTCAGTTTTCATCTTTTGATGATAACACTACATCTCATGCTTGATGTATTACGTCAAGACGCAGCCGACCTAAATTGATGCAGAGGTTTCAACTTCGTCTTCACCCTTCAAAAAAGGTAATGGTAAAGACTCCTTCTTTTACGTCGGTAAGTCGAAATAGTCATCTGCCTAAGAAACATTACAGTGCAGTGAGGGGAGCGAGATTAAGTAAATAGGACTAACCTGTGGGATAGGGTGAGCGAGTACATGCAAGCGGTACGTATACGGTGTACCCGAATTCTCTACTCCGCATACCAACGCCTGTCAATCAAGCGTTCATCAACAAGGTATCTGGTACGATAATAATTGGCAAAAAAGTCATGTATGACTTCCCCGTTTATTACAATAAAACCCCGTCCCAAAGGTAAGAACTTGAATTTTTGGACTTCTGACGAAACAGGTTCCTGTATTTTAAAGAAGTGATTTACAGTTCAGCCTAAGAAGATTAATTCTTAAATTCGGTTTGTATTTTCTGTGTGAAAGAAATATATGACTGCTATAAAATTTATAAAATCTCAAGGTCAAACTCCGTGGTTAACATGTTTATTTAGCAATTAATGAATAAGGCTGAGTAGGATATGAAGAATTAAGCAGATCGAGGAGGGTGTTATCGGCCGAGGTGGATAACACCCTCCGAGATCTGCTTAATTCTTCATATCCTACGAAAGCCGAATTCATTAACTGTTTTATTATTCATTTAAAATAATTCCTAGTCTAAAAACATAGCTAAAACATGCTTCCCTGGATAGCTGTTAAGTTCATCTTCGATAGTGTACCTTTAGGTTTGTCCAGGTCCGCAAATATTCTCCAAATAGCAAATATCACCCTCCGAGTTGTCTTCTTACTGTTTTTGCCATGTTTTCAGCTATTATTTCGCCGAGTTCCAGCTGTAGTTCTTACTCTTGAAACGAGCGAAATGTCCGCCTTTTTTTTCACAACCTCGCCTCCAGGTCTTCTCGGTTAACGGTACCTTAACCTGTAGTGGGCTGCATTTTTGACGTAATCTCCTCGTTAAACACAAAATTCTTCCAAATTTGGTTATCAGTAATCAGTGAATTATGCGTGTGCTTTTAGCCAATCAGAATTGGGGAAATATTTTGAATGAATAATAACATGATTTAACTGTATGTCACAAAGAAGAACTTGCTCGATCTTGCTTGGCTAGACAAGTACAGTTCTTATGTTAGTATTTTGGTTGTTAAAATAGCAAATATCTGACAGGTTAAGTCTCCAGGTTCTTACTAGTAATATCAGTATTATGCGTATATAAAATATACCGTTCATCACCGAAACCGAACACACGTGAATCAAAGAGCAAAAAACTGAAAAAAAAGCAAGCAACTTGAAAATAAATTAACCTTTTGTAGCAAGAATCTGGATTCAAGAATCAGGAAACATACTATATTCAACTTACCGCCATAATACTTCAAGCTTGTCTGTGCGTGTTCAGTCCTCTAAAAAGACGATATGGGAAAGAAACTGATCAGGAATGAAACTGAAAACCGTATGCTTCTATAATTGTTTACATTTGGCTTCCTCAGTTATCCTGAACCTTCAGGTAGCTTGGAGAAACGGCTTTAAGATTTGACGTTGAAAAAGAGGTGATTACAATCCTTTCGTTGCTTTATCTTAGTGGTCAATCACGAGATCCGATCGAGAGGATCTGGACATTCATTTGTCCTTTCCATTGGAGAGGGGAGGGGGGTAGAAGGGTTAGGGGGGCTATATATCTCATAATTTCCAAATCAACAGTCTTCAAACACAAGTGTGGGTTTGATTATAAGAAAGGAAAAGAGGACCAAACCGTTAATTAATATGCGAAGGGGTTTAGTATTAGCATGCAAGGGGAATAAATCAAATTCCTTTCCTGGTGCATATTTATGTATCGCGTATTGCATTTTAATGTGTAAACCCTGGCATTTTAGTTCGTTGTTTACGTTCTTAAACACGACACGACGCCTTCGTTGTTGGTGTTCTTAAACATGTCGCCCTAACTCACCAAAAAAAAGGTCTTAGGACATTAAAAGAATATTCGCTCTCATTTCACTTCCCAAGGCCTTTCTCAAGGCCGGAAGCGGTACGTTAACATTTACTCCAGAGATGAGTGTTGCTCCTATTTCTTGCCATAATGGGGCTCTTCCATTTAATCACCCTAAACTCGTACCCTCCAGATGGATTTAGTGCTTTGCATTTTACAGTGTTCGTTACTTATTCCTTTTTTTCAACTCCTTGTCTTTAACAGTAGCGATACTTCGCTCAGTATTTTCCTCAGTAAGTTTATTGCCTGACCAAACGATCCTTTGTATGGAAATTGAAGTTTCTGCTTTTGCCCTTTTGTATGCTCCGCAAAGAATGTTTCCAAATTGGGTAAGATTACCGTGCAGAAGCATTCTCTTTTACTCTTTCACTGCGCGGCTATTGTTTGTTTTCTGTTAATTTAGTACTCACTCGTCAGTCTCTAACACCTAAATATCGATTTCCGCCAATTTCGTATCCCTTGAATTTTTGGAGTTCTTCTTTTACTTATATTAACAAAAGGGATTTTAAGGGAGGTTTTCAGTCACCTTACCTTGCAAGAGAAATGAATTTTTGTAGTGTAATCTGTTCAGTCTCCCTGCAGCTTTAAGTAGCGGAATCCCTTCGAGCCATTACTCAACAGTCAGCCTCGTTTCAGACCCTTTTATTTACTTCCCCGAGTTTCATTAAATATTTGTTTATCATCTCGCCCTGTGCACGGTTCTGGAAGCTGATTGGCTGAATAAAGTGTGGTAATTGCGGATAACCCGAGAATTTTTAAGGCTAATGAGTTTTATTCCTACTGGCCTTTTTGAGTAATGATGTGTTTCACAACCCTTTTGTATCACGATGATGATAATGATGATGATAATGGCAGGATATGGTTGTTTTCTCTTTGTCAGTTCAAGTATTAAAATTTAAAAGGACAAAATAAGGCTTGGCTCAGTAGATTTTTTTCACTACTCATTGCAATGTTTATATTCAGTAGATGAAAAAATATTCAAATTTAGTAACTTGCGTAGAAAAACCAAACGTACTCTTTATAGAGTTAAACTCGAAAACAGCATAAATATATACAATGAGGGACAAAAGTGTTGACACACTTCTGTAAAATGGCCCCATTTTTCATAGTAGACATACCTATCCCCTTCCCCTCTGTCCCCCTAACCCCCTCCCCCTAAAATCAATGTTGTATTTTATATCATCAAGTCTTTCTTCAACTGAAAACAACATTGATTTAGGGGTGGGGGGATTTAAGGCCTTTAAACACAGTCGTATGTAAAAGGAAGGAAATTGTTACTGAAAGCGTCTGTTTTAGACAAGTGTGTCAACTACTTTTGTCCCTGATTGTCCGAAAAAGGATTCTATGTTTTACGGCTTGCGGTTGTACTCACATTATTTTTTGCGGGATGAATTGACTGTACGGGACGAATTTTTAGTTTTGGAACAACAATTTATTACATTTCGTGCTTTTTTGTTGTTTATCTCCAATAAAATGTACGCATTGTACGTCATTTAGTCATTCTCATATTACCCAGCGCGTCCTTTACACGCTGTAGGAGATCAGTTGTGTTGTAAACAGTGCCGTTGCTGTGGACGCTATCTTTTCATAAGTTTTCTGAGAAGTCAGATACAACGATGGAGGAAGTAGGTAACGATGAGTGTGATCCTGTCAGTTCAGAAGTAGAGACAAGCCAAGCTGTGTATGAGTTCAACACATGTGAAATGAACGCGCGCAATGTTCGTCAAATTTACCTGATAACCTATAGCATGGTTGATACGGAGCGCTTTCCAACAAGGTCTTCGTTTGCAGAGGCTGTTGTACAGTCCTTCGCGGACACGCCTGCGAAAGTTGTACAGTGGTGTTGCTGCCTGGAACAGCACGTACAATCGGGTGTACATTTCCACATGGCAATGAAACTGGACAAGAACCAACGGTGGCTTCCTAGCAAACGATACCTGTTAGAGAGGTGTGGTATTTCTGTACATTTCTCCGCCACGCACGAAAACTATTTCAGCGCATGGAAATATGTTACGAAAGAAGACCGAGATTATATTCAGAGTGACGGGCATCCTGACCTTACAAGTGCAACTGCTCCAAGAACCACCAAGGCCTCTTCTACCAAAAGGACCACAGCTATGGAAAAGAGAGAGAAAGGTGCGTTGTCAACGGACAACTGTGAGGAGCTTAGTGATGCCCGAACAAGCACAAGGAAAAAAACGACGGGGAAAAAAAGAGCGAACAAGAAGATAGTAAAAAGTAAGAAGAAACGTATGACCTCATATGAGTTATCGGAAATCATTCTAGCTAAGAACATTAAATCAAGAACTGAACTACTAGCCCTTGCAAGAGAGCAAAAAGTAGAGGGGAAAACGGACATCGCAGAGTTTATTGTAAATAGAGGTGCGAAAGTTGTAGCAGACGTGCTGACTACTACCTGGGAGCTGGAAAATTCTAAAGATAACCTAGAAAGGCAGAGGAAAAGCAGAATCCAGCTATTAAAGGAAGTAAGAGACGGAGAATGCGTACAAAATTGTTCTGGACAATGGTTAATTTCAGCGAAAGAAGTACTCCAGGGTAACGGAGTGGACATAAACTATTTTGGACATTGTGTGCATGAATTATTACAGAAAGGACGCGGCAAATACAGGAATCTTATGATCGTAGGCCCAGCCAACTGCGCAAAAACATTTCTGCTCAACCCTCTTAATGTCATTTTTAACACCTTTTCAAACCCAGCGTCCACAAGTTTTGCATGGGTTGGCGCGGAACAGGCTGAATGTATTTTTTTGAATGATTTCAGATGGTCCCCGGCTGTTATCCAGTGGCATGATTTCCTATTAATGTTGGAGGGACAGTTAGTTCATTTACCAGCCCCCAAATCACATTATGCAAAAGATATTGTCTTCGAGAAAGACACGCCAATTTTCGCCACCGGAAAAAACCCCATTATTTTCGCGAAGAATTGCACAATTGATGAGAAGGAGACAGAGATGATGGCTGTGCGCTGGAGAATTTTTCGCTTTCATGCGCAAATTCCGCAAGAAAAGCAAAAGCAGATTCCCCCATGTGGAAAGTGCTTCGCACAGCTTATTCTTGGCGAGAAAGATTGTACGGATGTCGTGTAAATAAGGAGTTTGAACGGTTAACCACGATAGAACACATCGACATTTAAGAGTTGTATACATTATATTGCTTACTGATTACCAACATGTGGTTAACCGTTCCATCACCAAGAAAGCAGTGATTTTTTTCAGTTTGAGTTATTGTTTTAGCTGTAATTCAGAGAACTGTTCATGTTGGAAAAGATTAGTTTTATTTTTGTTGATGAATTTTCACAGAAAAGAAAGATTTCCGTGCGAAAACAAACACTGTAGGCTGATATAGTATGCGCCCATGTCACGCTGTTTGTGTTATCATGTCACACTGTGCATTGCCTGTTCTAATTGACAGTTATTTTATTCATCTATTGTTCTAGTGTACGACTTTAATATCTTGTACGCTGTCCTTTGTTTTTAAGCAATAATTCTATTCTGTTATTCATACTTTCAATTGTCCTGTCAATTAAAGTTGTATCTAGATTATGAAAAGTGGTAGCTACGCGCTCAGAAAACTCCTGAAATGTCTCGTGTGTTATGTTCCTGTCTAATGCGTCTTTTTCCAAAGCCATCTTTACAATGTGAAAAATATTTTCTATGAAATGAATATCACCACTTCTTGGAGGAAGGGGCACTAGCTTGGCTCGCAATCGCCTCCAAGCGCTGCGAGCTAACGCCGAGTTTTGACTGGGATCATTGTCTTGCATAAATAGTTTTGGTCTTCCCTTATTGCAGACTCTGAACATACGGGGAAATTCTCGTTCGATCAGACTTTTGAAGTATTGTCCGTTCAAGGTTTCATACTGTTCGCATAGAACTACCCCTTTACCATAGCTAAGGGCAACCATAAATTTCGCAACTCTTCCACCGGTGCCGCAATGGGAACCTTTGGCTGTGCAGCCAAAGGCTAGGCCCTCTTGTTGTTTTCTCCATATACGCCCACTTGGTGCCCGCGCTTGGTCAGCGAGGTTGTACTTATGAACAAAACTCACACCATCTAAGTAAAAAGAAATGTTCTCTGTCCAGAAGTTCGTAGAATTATCTCTTTTCATCTTTCGTGCAAATTTTAAACGCTTAACGAGGTCTGTTTCTTTTAAGAGGCCCTTTTGACGTGCGTGTAAATACTGGTAACCTTCTCTATGGAGGAATCGTTGGACGGTCTTAGTTGACACGCGAGAAATGTCTATCCCGGCTTTTTGCATTAAACGCTTTATCGTGAAATTTCCATCGGATTTACGCAGTTTTGGAATGCTGCGCAGCAACAGTCGCTCCTCTCTATGGCTCAATTTCCGTGGCCGCCCAGTGACTTTCTTTCTCACTACTCGATCTTGACACTGACCATTCAGTGTTTGCGCTCGTACAATGCGGTAAAGTGAAGAACGTGAAATTTTCACTTCATCTAAAATTTTTTTGGTAGACATACCCTTGAATTTGACCAAAAAACGTACATATGCGCGTCTTTCCGCGTCGATTTTTCCCTTGAAAACCATATCGCCCTCAATTCTGACAATCGGTGCCCTTTTGTTACGTAATCCCGTAATTGGTATTAGGCCCATAATTCGGACGTAATTAAGTCAATTGCAGTCCAACCAACAATAACTTGAATATCACTCTGATTGCTTTAATTTCACTCAATTTCATTGTCACACAATGATCAACATGTCTGCAGTAACACCATTTTGCCTTCAGACAATGAGGGACAAAAGTGTTGACACACTTCTGTAAAATGGCCCCATTTTTCATAGTAGACATACCTATCCCCTTCCCCTCTGTCCCCCTAACCCCCTCCCCCTAAAATCAATGTTGTATTTTATATCATCAAGTCTTTCTTCAACTGAAAACAACATTGATTTAGGGGTGGGGGGATTTAAGGCCTTTAAACACAGTCGTATGTAAAAGGAAGGAAATTGTTACTGAAAGCGTCTGTTTTAGACAAGTGTGTCAACTACTTTTGTCCCTGATTGTAGATATGATTGATTAAACTGCGTATTCGTTAGCACCAATCACACTAGATGCATCATGACACGGTTTTAGGAGACGATACCATTATAAAAAAGAGTCATGCTACACAAACCGAAATAGCCAGAAAACCGTTTGATCGGTTTCGTAGCCTATATTTACATTTTCTCCTTTATACATACAGCTTCTTCGAATGTGAAATGTTATTAGCAACACTAAAGTTTTTTTAGATTTCCTAAGCTCATCATAGCAGTCTAATGGTGGTCTCGTGGTTTTTAATTGCATTAACTCTCACTGGGTTTGCAGTGTTCACTCTTAGTTTTAGCTATGCCAGTAACGCATGCGAACATAAATTATATAGATATCGCACTTGTGTACTTTCATGGTATAAAGTACTTACCCACTTTCTCTTAATCATTGATAAAAGTTATGACCAGTTTCAGTCAAAATAACCTTAAGTTATTGCTTTAATCTTTGTGCCCAAGATTCTCTTTGGCCCCCTCCCTGACCGTTTTTATCGCCAGAGCGTCTAGTATCTCTTAAAGCAACAGAGAAGTAGCCAATCATAAAATGGTGTTGAGGTACCTAAGCAGGCCATATAATAGACTATCATGGTAGTCTACTTAGCTACTAACAAAATAGTGAATAAAAGAAAGGACTAGTGCAGGTTTTTAGGAATGTGTACGTCGTTAAGTTAACTGGTCATCGAACCACGATTCCAAATTCCTCACAATCCTCACTTTGGAAACACCAGGATACCCTGACGGCGCTCACAGTCGCCATATTTTAATAGATACCGTGATGCTATGCCTGGAAATTCGTTTTTGACGTCGTTAAGCATAAGTTTGTCGGAGTAAATGAAATGCTTGACGTCCCTAATACATCATCATCTTGATTTCAAGAACAGCTTACGTTAGAAGATAAACAAAGCTGAGAGTCATCAACATAAGTATGAAAATATCCAATGGTAGTTAATATGAGATTATGACTGTGGTTACTACCAGAACCGCCTCTACGACTACCGTCGACTGCGATCGATGTGATGAGATGTAATTTAAGTGAAATGAGGGAGAGTTGGGTGATTTGTGCTGAGGGTTTTAAAACAGTCGGCCTATTCATATAAGGCAATTTTAATTACGTTCAAGTGTTTTAATCTTTATGTAACTATCGCTGTAGATTCTTAAAAAGTAGGATTTTGAGCTTTCTACAGCTACCAATTAATCAAATATAAATACTTCATAAAAAGATATAAAGTGTTAAATTATGTTCACAAGTCTTAGTATAAGGCAACAAACTCGCCACATGGCGAAACATAATATAGTTTAAAAAAACTGTATATGTTGTGGTTCAATTTATTGCCATTTGTTTTTGGGCATGGTAATGCATGATAATGGGTTTAAACAAAAAAAAAAAA